GTTATAAGCCTTGAGAAGAGAAAGGGAGAGAGGGACAAAAAGGGAGGGAGAAAGAGGGGAAGGAGAAAGATCAATAAATAATATAAAAGCAAGCATTCACACAGACACAAACATCTGCCAAACCAGCTGCACAGTCATTATACCGTATAGCGGGAAATTTTGGAGGGGATTAAATTTGGCAAATTTGGCATTTTGATAGCCATTTGCCAAAATAAAAATCTGCCATTTTGAGCCATTATATGCATGCTCAATGGCACATGACCACAAATTCGCCAAATTAATACTTGCCAATCACCAAAATTTAGCAATTTGCCAAATTTTAGTCCCTCAAAAATTTCCCGCTATACGATAGTAATGTATTGTTCAAAATAATGAGAAGCAACATCATCACAATCACATTATTGCACCATCACATGTACACACACACACACACACATTCATTATGGGCTCAATATTTATATTATTTGTATATATATTGCAGATAATGATACCTGATAAAGTATTACAAACTACAAACTTCCCATTAAGTTAAAGACAACACAATAAATGTAAAATACACTATAAAAAGGTTAAGATAACACCTAACAAAAAAAAATTTTATAAAAAAATGTATGTACATGTACAATAATGGCTTATTTTAACTCTTGAGAAAACAACATTAAAAAAACATTGTCACATCATAAAGGTAAACCTTTTAAAATATAATGACTGTGTGTAAGAAATTACAATAATATTAAGCTCTATGGATCATAAAAATGGTGTTTAGCTGTTTGTGTGTGTTCGTGTGTAAATTTACTTCAATCATTTGAGGAGGAACAGAAGATTTTGTGTCTTCGCTTTTTTTCTTAACATAACATACAATAGCAATCACCAATATAACTGAAACTGCCAGTGCCAGTCCAATGGTGACAATTACTATACCAGCAATAGCACCAGCACCAACTATTAATAATCAATAATTAATATTGAGCACAGTTACATGTACATACGTCGTGATGGTTCTTGAGTAGGAGTGTTTGATGGAGACATACTGTTTGATGGAGTGATACTGCTTGATGGAGACATACTGCTTGATGGAGTCATACTGCTTGATGGAGTCATACTGCTTGATGGAGACATACTGCTTGATGGAGTCATACTGCTTGATGGAGACATACTGCTTGATGGAGTCATACTGCTTGATGGAGTCATACTGCTTGATGGAGTCATACTGCTTGATGGAGTCATACTGCTTGATGGAGTCATACTGCTTGATGGAGTCATACTGCTTGATGGAGTCATACTGCTTGATGGAGACATACTGCTTGATGGAGTCATACTGCTTGATGGAGTCATACTGCTTGATGGAGTCATACTGCTTGATGGAGTCATACTGCTTGATGGAGTCATACTGCTTGATGGAGTCATACTGCTTGATGGAGTCATACTGCTTAATGGAGTCATACTAGGAGTTGCACTAATGCCTGAAGTAAGAGAAGAAACAGATGTACTAGTTGAAGGTATTTCAGATGGTGGTGGTGTAGCAAGTATAGCTAAAAAAGTACATATTATAATTGTAATTATTTATATTTACTAACTTATTGTAGCTGATGTAACAGTACCAGTTCCTAATACATTAACAGCCTCCACTGAAACAGTATACACTAAACCAACTGAAAAACCAGACAGAGTTAGTGAAGTAACATTAGTTGGTATATCCTGAACTTCATTAGAAATGTTATACTTAACATTATATCGAGTTATAGGAGGACGAGATGATGACTGTGGCTATAAATAATAATAAAATTGATACTGATTATTATGATTTATTTACTTCATTCCACAATGCAGTGATGTTTACAGTATCAGTAAGATATTTATTTTGTGCTAATGTCAGATTAGTAACAGATAAAGGAACTAAAAAGATTACAACATATTATATTAATGTTACTATGATTATCTTGGCTCAATATCACTTACCATTAGGTGTAAATCTTATTACCTCAGAGCTATTATATCTACCTCCAGTATCAACAGCTCCTACACTAACAGAATATTCTGTATCATTAAATGATTCAGATATAGGTATAACCAGACTAGTATCATTAGTCACGTATGTAACATTGCTAGCTGAACTAGTAATGCTAACAGCATAATTGGTGAAACATTGACCAGTTGATGGTGACCAAGAGAAGGTAAAATGAGTAGAACCAAAAGTGAGAGGGTTAGCAACAGGAGCAGGTAGAAAATCTAAATATTTATATAATAATAATAATGAAGTGTCACTCAATCTGTACCTGGTATCACTATAGAACAGTTAACTAGTGTGATAAAATCCGGTCCACATTCAATAAGGTAATTACTGATGTTTATCACAGCAGTGAATGTTATAGTAGAAACAATTACACCAGTTGTATTAATCAGTACAGTAGTGAATTCATTACCAATAGAATCTATCCTACCTACACTATTTCCATCTATATACGCCACTGTTAAAGCATACTGACGACCATTAGTATCAAGTACTCTCCACCTTAGTTGAAGTGGTGATCCACTTTCACACTTATAAGTCACTGTTTGTGATAGACACACGGAATCTAGGCAAGGATTAAGGAACCTAGGTTCACCTGGAGTTTATAGGTAAAATTTGAAAATAATTCAGATACAGATATTTACCTCTGACAAGATTTAAGTATAGGTTATACACCGAGGTCGAGGTTTCTATGGGATTTATTTACCGAGGGACGCAGTCCCGAGGTAAATAAACCCATAGCAACCGAGACCGAGGTGTATAACAGACTTCTACCATGCCAAATTGTAGCTAAGAAACTGCCCATGATTAGCAAGGCTTTATAAAAGCACAAGGCCTCTTTACTTCTTTGTATCTTCTTAAAAGAAACTGGAAAATCTCTTCTCCACTCGCGCCATGTGTGTACAGTAAAACACGCCCAGAACACGCCTTTCCAATTCCACTCCACCCATTAAGAAGTTTATCACATGGCCCAATGCTTTTGACCATAGTATCTATGTTTTGACGCTCTATTTCTTTCTTTTCGATGTTCTTTGCTGCTTTCTCTGCTAAAAATGATTGCTCCAGACGCCATAGCTATGCTTCGAGGTAAATAATCAGAAACCTGTTTGCTCCCGGGCTGTCCGCGAAGTAAATAACTAAGAAAACCTGTTTGGCGACTTTAATAAGTTGGCTATATTTACCTCGGCGAGGTAAATAAGCGATATATTTACCTCGTAGGACGCAATCTGATTGGTCAATTGCAAGTAGGCATGGTAGAAGATGTAAAAAAAGAAGAGAATAAGGACTAGCTTCATGTTGTCAAAATCTCGTCACACAAATTAAATCTAGACTAATTAGTGATGGGCGATTCCAGAAATTTGCATTCGATTCCGATTATGAATACTTTTGAGGCTGGAATCGATGGAATCGAATACCGATTCCGAGTATTACATCTGCGCATGCGCAAAGCCACGTGTTATCAATTACAGCAATGAAAATGCAATAATGATGAATAATTGAGGTATTAACTACTGATTAATTAACTATTATTAATATTAAAGGGTGTGGCTGGGTGTGGTTTGATTCGGAATCGTTTCAAACGATTCCTACTTCTCTTTCGATACGAGTACGATTCCATTCGGAATCGAAGGATCGAATACTCCGGACTCGGAATCGCCCATCACTAAGACTAATGCCTAATGGTCAAATGGGAGGGGTGATGTGGGGACCTTGAGAAAAATCATGAATAAAGGCTTTCTCTCGGGCTTTCTATATCTTTTTTGTATCTTCAATATTTTCAGAGGTAATTAATAGATAAAATTTTCTCAGTTATTTTCAAATTTTACCTATAAATTCCAGGTGAACCTAGGTTCCTTAATCCTTGCCTAGATTCCGTGTGTCTATCACAAACAGTGACTTATAAGTGTGAAAGTGGATCACCATTTCTTCTAAGGTGGAGAGTACTTGATACTAATGGTCGTCAGTATGCTTTAACAGTGGGGTATATAGATGGAAATAGTGTAGGTAGGATAGATCCTATTGGTAATGAATTCATTACTGTGCTGATTAATACAACTGGTGTAATTGTTTCTACTAGTCTATAACATTCACTGCTGTGATAAACATCAGTAATTATGTTATTGAATGTGGACCAGATTTTATCTCACGAGTTAACTGTTCTATAGTGATACCAGGTACATATTGAGTGACACTTCATTATTATAATATGAATATTTAGATATTCTACCTGCTCCTGTTGCTAATCCCCTCACTTTTGGTTCGACTCATTTTACCTTCTCCTGGTCACCATCAACTGGTCAATGTTTTAGCAATTATGCTGTTAGCATTACTAGTTCAGTTAGTAATGTTACATACATGACTAATGATACTAGTCTGGTTATACCTATATCTGAATCATTTAATGATACAGAATATTCTGTTAGTGTAGGAGCTGTTGATACTGGAGGTAGATATAATAGCTCTGAAGTGATGAGATTTACACCTAATGGTAAGTGATATTGAGCCAAGATAATCATAGTAACATTAATATAATATTTTAGTTCCTTTATCTGTTACTAATCTGACATTAACGCAAACTGATTATCCAACTGATACTCATGAAACTGTTAACATCACTGTATCATGGAATGAAGTAAATATATGATAAGAATTATTTTTAATTAACATAATTTTCATAGCCACAGTCATCATCTCGTCCTCCTATAACTCAATATAATTTTCAGTATAGCATTTCTAATGAAATTCAGAATATATCAACTAATGTTACTTCATTAACTCTGTCTGGTTTTACAGTAGGATCAGTATATACTGTTGGAGTAGCTGCTATTAATGTATTAGGAGCTGGTACTGTTACATCAGCTACAATAAGTTAGCTATTATTTTAATTTAACTGTAAGTATATAATATGTACTTTAGCTATATTACTTGCTACACCACTACCACCTGAAATACTTTCAACTAGTAGAGTTGATTTCACTTCTTCTTTTACTTCAGGTATTAGTGCAACTTGTAGTACTACTCAAAGTGTTTATGTTACTGAAGGTATAACATAGTGAAGCAATACTTATACATTGTTACCGTATAGCGGGTAATTTTTGTAGCGCTTTATTTTCGTGATTTTCGGGGTTTTGGGGCTTCCCACAAAATCATTGAAGTCCCCTTAAAGGCTATGTAAACTGTCAATCACGAAAATTAAACCACAAATGCCCACTAGGAGCAAACCACAAAAATTAAAACCCACGAAGATAACCCGTCATACGGTACGCATTATAGGTTGTAGTTGTGACAGTACTACCCAAATTATTCCGAATGTTTCTGCTACTGAAGGTACCAATAGACTCTTATTACTATAAAGTCATTCCTATACATTGCTATACATTAGGTTGTAATTGTGCCTCCAGTACTACTCTACCTATTGCAGTTAGTGTATCAGTGACATTTATACTGACAGCTATACTGTCTTCAACACTGACACTAATACTGACACTGCTGTGTGTTAGGAGCAGATCTAATAAACCAGTTGAACAGGTTGAACTAGTTGAACAGGCTAAACGAGATGAGGGAGGATCAACAGCATCAGTTGCTGTGTATGATGAGATCACTACTACTAAAGGAGGAGCCACCAGTTCTGTTCCACTAACAAGTAATCCAGCTTATGGACCACTGAGAAATTAACATACTCATTCTCAAGTTGTTTTTATATTTAGCGTAGTGTGATTATAGTCACTTAATATTCAATTATTTTATTTTTTAATTATTTTACATTGTTCAAATTTTGCATTGTTTTTTTAGTTCTGATCTTTTTTTACGATTTAAAAATTTTAAATATACTTTTTGTTTCTCAATGTGTACTTGTTGTAATTAGACGTTCCTCATCTTCATGCTGTGTATCAGTGTTACTGTATAAATAAAAGAGAAAGCAAATAAATACAAAACATCTAGCAAATTATACTTATCATTACCCATTCATGTGTGTATACATTTATTGAGCAAACAGTCAGCAAGATAAGACTAAACTGCTATCCAAAACCTTCTCCAGCAGCAAGGAAGGTCATACAGTACAACAATAGCATGGCTCGGGGGGAGGGGGGCTGAGCCCCTTAATGTTTCACATTCTTCTAGTTTAATAACCCAATTGTGTACACATTAATACCATCAATAACAAAGATATACCAGTTGTATAGTACAGGGGCAGCTGACACTAAGCATATGATAATACATAATGCACACCATAACATACAAATGGACATCATGAGCATACATGCATACGCTACACATCATCCTCATATTATTAGAACACACATAAAAGGCAAAACAAGACAGTGTGTTTATACTAGCTCAAAGTAGTTCAGTAATTAATTAATAATAGTTTCCATGGTTACTTCCCCTCACTCTGCGTCTATCATGATGATGGGTCACATGAGAATACGTGACTTGATTACTGGTGTCCTTGGGTCTCTGGTGACGTCTACCAGACGACGAAGAACTATGATCAAGATCAGCATACTCGGTACCCTCTGGAGGTGGTGGTGGGTTATGAGATGCTGCCGATTTTAGAATGGCAGAATATAAAACCTGATTATTAGCTTCAGGTGAAATTGGTTTTGCTGGTTTTGGAGGAGCTTGTATCGTAGAGGAAGATGATTTAGCAGAGTAGTCTACTTGAGCATAGTTATAAGCCTTGAGAAGAGAAAGGGAGAGAGGGACCAAAAGGGAGGGAGAAAGAGGGGAAGGAGAAAGATCAATAAATAATATAAAAGCAAGCATTCACACAGACACAAACATCTGCCAAACCAGCTGCACAGTCATTATACCGTATAGCGGGAAAT